AATATTCATATAATAAGGACAAATTTACTTGTGATACGTTTCGGTACGCCGTTTTAGTGGCATATTACGGTATGCAACATGTGCCGTATACTTTTCCATATATTTTGTAATTAATTGAAAAATATTTATTTTTAAATAACTTATATTTTGATATATCAATATATATTGAAATCCTTTAATTTGTTTATTGAGAAACAAATGAGGAAGGAGAAATACAAAAAGCAGGCTCAATGGCTTGGGTTAAATAAGCCCAAGAATTAATAGCCGCCATTTTATTTCACCGGGTAAAAGATTGGAATATGTAAACACAAATATAAGCAACGACAACCATGATAAAGATTTGCACCGAACTTTGAATCCATGCAGAGAATTGCTGATATTTTATGGGGGAAGCTATCATTGGTTAAGGTTAGTCTGGTTGGATCAAACCTCTTTGTGTTTTCCTTTTCTAATGTTGTGATGAGAGATTGGGTCTTGGAGAATGGCCCTTGGCACATTCAGAATAAACCCTTAGTATTAAGAAAATGGGAACCAAATATACAGAGATTAGATTTTGATCTTAGACACGTACCAGTTTGGATTTAACTTTATAATGTCCCCCTCGAGCTTTTCTCTAGGAGTGGTCTTAGCTACATTGCTAGTGCTGTTGGGGTTCCCCTCTATATAGACACTGTTACTGCCTCGAGGGAGAGGCTTGAATATGCAAAGGTTTGTGTAGAAGTTGAGGCAAGGGCAGTTATTCCTAATGTAGTTAATGTAGTTCTGCAGGATGACTCCTTAGTGAAGGTCCGTGTTCATGCCCCTTGGATGCCCAAATTCTGCTCTCAGTGTAAAATCTTTGGGCACCTGGCCAATATATGTGTTGAGGGGGTTAAAGCTCCTATGAAAAATAAGGAAGTTTGGAGGAGGAAAATGAACTCCAATTTACCTGATCTTTCTGATAAGGGAAATTTGGACAATTATGTTATTGTGGTAGAGAATCTATCTTTTGCTGGCTCTGGATCCAATTTTGCTGAGGGAGGATCTCTTCCTTCTGACCTTAAGGTTGGTAATGAAGAGGTTTCGAATGTGAAAGACCTGCAAGAAAATAATGTAGGCACTGTACAAGTGCTAGCTGGAGATAATACAGTCCAGTCTCAATTCCCTATTGAGTTTGCTTCTGCTGACAATAGTGGAAAGTTTTCCCAGCAGTCCGAGGCCAATGATAATGATGATTTGGCAACTGATGCAGTATGAAAGGTTATTACCACTGACAATTGGTTAGCCTTGGCTGTGGTGGAGAGTTCCCCTCGCTACAAGATTCACTGCTCCATAAAAAGAAAGCACGGGGGAAAAGGAAGGATAATTCCGGCTCTTCTAGTAAATTGGAGCTACTTGCTGGTGGTGGTGGTGTTGATGGTAATAGGTAAGCTAGAACTGCTTCATTGGGGGTTGTTATGCTTCTCAATGAGATTAAAGTAAAGAAAAAAGATCTCATTGAGAAAGTCAAAGGTAATGGGGTCAGTTGTAGTTAATGACCCTCTTATCCCTATTTGATGATTTTTAGTTTTTGGAATGTTAGAGGGCTCAATAGTGGGCTCAAGCAAGGAAAAGTCTTGAGAAGGTTGGAGGTTTTAGGTGTGGATGTAATCTGCTTCATGGAAACTAGAGTTAGGTATATTAATTTTCCTATGATTATTGATACTTTGGCTGCTGATTGGAATATAATTGCCAATTATGAGTACTCTGAGGGTGGTAGGCTTTGGATAATGTAGAAAAAGTGTCTTTCTTTCTCTATACTAAAGGGTTGTGACCAATCTCTCTCAATTGTAGGAGATGTGGCTGGTAGAAAGGTTGTTGTTACTGTTGTCTATGGTAGCAATAGTAGTCAGACTAGAAGAGGATTATGGGAGCATTTAAGAAATTTGGATGCTGAAATTGGGTCTGTCCCTTGGGTGATTGGGGGTGATTTTAACACTCTTGTCAGTGCAGAAGAGAGCTATGATTGTGATGGTATGGGGTTGCAAAGCATCTCTGATATGGAGGACTTCAATGATTGCTTGATGGATTTAGAGATTCATGACCATCCTTTCACATGTCCACTTTTCACCTAGTCTAACAAACAAGAAAGTAACTTCTTGGCTCGGAAATTGGATATAGTTTTAATTAACTCTCAATGGCTATTGGAGTTTGTTGATTCAGCTGTGGAATTTAAAGCTCAGGGGCCTTCTGACCATTGCACTGGGATTCTTTGGACTCAGAAAAGTGCTCAGGTAAATCGGCCTAAGCCATTCAAGTTCTTTAATTGTTGGACTGCCAATGAAATTTTTTTGAGGGTTGTAGAAGGTTCTTGGCATGAACATTATGAGGGGAACCCTATGCTAGTCTTGTTTAATAAGTTAAAAATACTAAAGCCATTGTTAAAAGACCTCAACAGAAGCTGTTTCTCTGATATCACTAGCAGAGTGGTAGCAAAAAAGGTTGAACTTGAATCTGTTCAGCTATATAATCTTGCTCATGTGGATCATAGAAGGTTGGATGAGGAAAAGAAGCTCCAAGCAGAATTAATTGCCCTGAAATCTGCTAAATCTGATTTTTTAGGCAGAGAGCCAAAGTCCATTGGCTTCAAGAGGGTGATTTGAACACTAGGTTTTTTCATCAGAGAGTGGAATTGAATAAGAAGAGGAATACTATCACAGTCATTAAGGATGAAAGTGGGGTGTTCCATGAAACCTTTGATGACATGGCAGCTGAGCTTGAAATTTTTTTAAGAGCCTTATAGGGGCTGCTGATTCAAGGGCGAAGGGTTGTTCTGTTGGCTGGCTTAAATCTGTTTTGAATTACTCTTTACCTGCTGGAGCTGAGGATCTCCTTGTTAGTGTGATTACTGATGCTGAAATCAAGGATGCCTTGTTCAGGCAGGGGAAAAACAAAAGCCCTGGATCTGATGGCTATACTTCTTGGTTCTTCAAGGTTGCTAGGGGATTGTTAGCAAGGATTTTATAGGGGATGTAAGGTATTTCTTTCAAACATCCTCCCTGTTACCTGTTTTTAATGCCACCACCATTGTCTTAGTGCCTAAGTCCTTAAATGCATGTATGGCTAAGGAATTTAGGCCCATTTCTTGTTGTTCTGTGGTTTATAAGACAATCACTAGAATATTAGTCACTAGATTAGCTGTATTCTTCCCTGGCATGATTTCTTTAAATTAGTCAGCATTTGTCAAGGGTAGAAACATTGATGATAACACCTTACTTGCCCAAGAAGTAGTTAGGGGGTACTCTAGGAAGAATCTTTCCCCTAGATGCACTATTAAGGTTGACTTGCAGAAGGCATTTGACTCAATATGCTAGGATTTTTTTATGAATGTTCTTGAGGCTTTAGGGCTGCCTGAGGTGTTTTGTGGTTGGATTAAAGCCTGTATTACCACACCTAGATATTCTATCTCTCTGAATGGTAGTCTGGTGGGGTATTTAAAGGGGGCTAGGAGGTTAGACAAGGTGATCCCCTATCCCCTTATCTTTTTGTGATTGTAATGAATGTTTTTTCTTCTTTGTTGGACATTGCTGCCAAGAATGGGATTTTCAGGTTTCATCCTAAATGCAAAAAAATTCCTCTCACACACCTTTGTTTTGCTGATGACCTCCTTTTGTTCTGCCATGGGTCATTGGATTATGTTATGGGGTTTGTCAGTATTTTGGATATGTTTTATGAGTTTTCGGGCTTAAGATTGAATACCATGAAGACAAAATTTTTTGCTTGTAGGATGGCACCAGATAAAGTTGCACTGATCCAGGGAGCTACTGGTTTCAGGATTGGAAAACTCCCTGTTAGATACCTAGGGGTGCCCTTGGTTACTCGTAAGCTCACTAGCAGGGATTGCTTGGCTTTGCTTGTGAAAATTAGAGAAAAAATTGGTAAGTGGTCCAGTAGGAAGCTTAGCTATGGGGGCAGATTGTAACTTATGAGGTCTGTCATGTTCAACTTGTTTGGTTATTGGAGTAGGCAGCTTATATTACCTAAGGGTATCATTAGGGATGTTGAGATGCTTTGTATGAGGTTCTTCTGGAGGGGCAATGATTCCTCTGCTAGGGGTGCTAGAGTGAGCTGGAATCAGGTGCGCTCACCTAAATCTGAGGGAGGGCTGGGCATAAGAAACCTAGCTGATTGGAGCAAAGCTTGCTGTTTAATGCTTATTAAGAGCATCCTTGCTGGGGAAGGGTCTTTATGGATTGCTTGGATCAAGGTTTACTGTTTTAAGTTAGCTGACTTTTGGACTGTTGTTAGTAAATCACATTTCAGTTGTATTCTAAGCAAATTGATTAAAATGAGGGAGGAGGCTAGTGTTCTCTTCAGTCCTTTGACTGCCTTATCTCAGATCAAGGGCAGGTGGATATGGGATAGCATCCGAATCAGTAGGGGGAAAGTTGCATGGCATAGACTCATCTGGTTCCCTGCGCATGTCCCTAAGTTCTCCCTTATTGCTTGGATGGTTCTACTTGATAGGCTGCCTACTAAAGACAGACTTATCAGGTTTGGAATTGCGGTTGGAAACAATGTGTGTGTGTTGTGTGGGGTTGGTCATGAATCTCGCAATCATCTCTTCCTTGAATGTCCCTTTGCGAGTGAGATTTGGCAAGCTATTATGCGTGCTTGTGATTTGCAACATCAGTTGCTGGAGTGCTGGGATGATGAGGTCTGCTGGATGGTTCAACACTTTAAAGGGAAGTCCCTTTTAGTTCATATCCTCAAGCTTGCTTGGACCGGATTTGTTTACTCTACTTGGGAGGAATGTAATCGTAGGAGTTTTAGGGGTGAGATGCGTTTTGTTGACACAATTGTAAATACTATACAGGAGGTAGTTAGAACAAAGTTGTATAGGAGTCACATTAATAGGGTTGATGCTGTAAATATGTGACTGTGCCTAAATTGGGGACTGATTTAGTTGATTGTATATGTTTCTTGTAGCAGCTTTACTGCTCTCTTTTGGATGAATAAACATTACTTATCCAAAAAAAAAAGATTCGCACTTGTCCTGAATTTCTTTGATGAGAATAACAATGATGGAAGGCATAGTTGTAAAGCTCCCTTCTTTCCCAATTTTATACCCTACTGTTTCACCTTCTTCCTCGAATTGTCGTCAAGGTTTCCGTCGCTTCTCCGCTTCGCTTTCCGCCGGCGTTAAAGAAGGCTCCGTTTCATTAGGCCACTCAACCCGACCCGATTTCCCCATACTCCACCAGGTCCTTCAATTTCCCTTATCTTTTTTTTTCTTGTTGGTTAGTTTCAGCTGATTAAGCTTGTTCTTAAATATGGCAGGAAGTAAATGGATCGAAACTTGTTTACTTAGACAATGCGGCAACCTCTCAGAAACCAACGGCAGTGTTAAGAGCTGTGCAGAATTATTATGAAGCTTACGATTCAAATCAGAGGAATTCATTACTTGAGGTACTCCCTTTTCTCCTCTTGTAAATTCTTTCCGGAAATTAATCTAGGGAACAAGTGAATAGGATAGGGCACTTTTGAGGTTACTCGATGAAGTTTTGCTAATGAGTGCCCTGTCGGCGTTAGTTAATATGCTATGTATAGCTCTAACATTGTACTAACCGCGGTAGTATACAATTTACTTTATTGTTTTCAATTGCATCTTTAGAAAGTACCCAACGGCACTCTTTTACAAATTCATATTATATAAACTAATACAAAATTAATATTTTGTAGCATATTGATTACTAATACATCTTATTTTAAATACAACGTTTTTTTTATAATTTTGTTGCATCATCTTAGTTATATATGTCCTCTTGTAAGATTAGTTTATTGCTATTTAGCAATTTTATAGGAAGCACAAAGTTAAACATATGATTTTTTTGCATTTCTTTTATGATTATTGTATATACAGTGCCAAGGCAACTGATGAGTACGAGTTGGCACGGAAGAAAGTGGCAGCTTTTATTAAAGCATCTGATTCTACTGATATTGTATTCACAAGAAATGCTACTGAGGCTATTAATTTAGTGGCTTATTCTTGGGGTTTATCCAATCTAAACCCTGGGGATGAGGTCAGTCTTTTATGACATATAGTTGCTCTTTCATTTATATAGGGTAGTTGTTAGTGTTCAATGAATCATGATGTTTGGTAATTTATGTTTGCAGATTATACTTACTATTGCTGAACACCATAGTGCTATCGTTCCTTGGCAAATTGTGGCACAGAAAACGGGTGCTATTTTGAAATTTGTAAATTTAGGTGTGAACGAGGTTCCAGATGTAGAAGAGCTGAAAGAGATGATCATTGAAAGAACCAAACTTTTAGTTGTTCAGCATGTGTCTAATGTGCTTGGTAGGTTTCTTTTGACATCAACTGTTCCTGTTTTGTATGTGAATACTTTAAAGAAGACAAATTAATCTTCTTCTTCCTCTCATTTTTTTTGAGTCGTCGACATTAATTTATATTTTCTTTCGTGAATTGGACTTGGCAAAATTTCAATTTTAAGTCTAGCCTTATTGTGATATACACATGAAGGTTCTCCATATCTCCTTCCTGTTTGAGAACACTCAATTGGATCAATTCAATATGTATTTTTAGTTGAGAGTTGGAATACTAGTTTAGGACTGTAACCGGTTTTTGCCCGGGTACGAATTTTTACTTGGTTGGAAAAATAAATAAATGATTTTGATTTAAAAAATATTTTGGGAGTCGTCATTGACCTTTTTGGGTTAGGTAGGTCAAATACCTAAAAAACAATCTTTTAAAATAGTTTTTAAGAAAACATAATTTAAAAGATAAATTGATCTACGTATAACCAAAAATTTTTAAAAAAGGATTCGTGGTCGATTACGTTTAGGGAAGGATTAGCACCCCTATAACGCCCAAAATTGGTACTCATTAATTATAAATTGTCTCTATTATTAAAAATTTAAAAATTCAAAGATATATTTAATTCATAATTTTGTGATTTCAAATTTATTATTATAATTTTAAGAAAAATGTATTAACTTTTATATATATATATTATTTTTTATAAATAAGATATTTATTTACGTAGAAATATAAAAAAAAGACTTCTAGTTGCTTTAAGACAATCATTTTCTTAATATTAATAAATAAAATATATTAATAAAATATTTCTCTAAAAATAATAAAAATAAATTAAGTTAATATATATAATTTATAAAAGTATGATATTTAGTTATTTAAAAATATGAGAAAAGAACTTCTAGTTGCTTTAAGACAACCCTTTTTTTAATATTAAAAATAAATATTTAAAATATGTTTATAAAAATAATATATATAAAATTAAATTTATAAATAGAATTTTTATTTAATAAAATAAATAAATAAATAAATATTATTTATTATATATTTATATGACTAAATTAAAATAATAATAAAATAATAATTAGAATATTGAATTCAACATATTGAAATTTAAATAATAAATTAAATCAAAATATAAATAAATAGTGACTAAAATAAATAAAATTAAAACTATAGTATTAAAATAAATAAATGAAAGTAATGATTAAATTATAACATATTAAAATTAAATGCCCTAATTCGTAATTAGTTATTTAAAATTACAGTGGCTAAACATGATATTTGACCTATTATTAATTTAGTGACTAAAATAAATATATATCAAATTCGAATATCAAATTAAAATAAATTAAAACATGGTTTTCGGGATTAAAATATTAATTAATAAAGTTATAAGGGCTAAATCGGTTATTTGCCTAAAATATATATATATTTTATGCTAATGACTAAATTATGAGTTAAATAAAATTAAGAGACTAAATTAAAAGGATCTAAATTTGATTTTAGTGACCAAAATATAAAATTATAGAACTGCGGGTACTACGGAAAGGGTTTGTCCATATGTAAAATTACACAGAGGCCCTCACCAAAACTACGTCGTTTTGGTGAGGGTATTTATACCCCCTTATAACCGGCCTTAAAGGCCAAATTTCTCATTTTCTCTTCCTCATTCTCTCTCTAAACCGAGAGAATAAATTCTCTCTACCTTCTCTCTAGGATTCCCTCACCGGAGGGAATCTGGTCGTCGGCCGACAGCCATCTATCTCCGCCAACTCCATCGCCGGCCACCGCCTCCGGTGGTTGAAAAATACAAATTTTATACCAAAATTTAGATCGGACCGTCTTAATGACGATTTCAGTGACCTTTTCCCTTAAAAAGCTCCCAATCGGAGAAAATCTACGAAAATACCTTCGGTTTTCAAAGGCTTTTGGTGGCGCGTGGAGGAGCGTGTCTCTCGGTATTTTAGTGGCATTTGGTTGTTGTGTTGCTTGTTATTCTCTCTGTGTCTCTCTTTGCAGGTTCGGTTGATGGCTTTATAGCCATCACCGGCGCTCATCTTGGACCGGGAAAAATGGTGGCAGTTTGGTGAGTCACCAAACTATGGTGGTGACTCACCCTATAACTTGAAACGTGAGAGGCTAGTGTTGATATCTTCGGAGTCTTCAGTGGGCGTCGTGGAAACGAGTGTCGGCAGTGGTTGATGAGAGTAGAGGCGGCGACGACGACGTGTCCCTAGGGTATCATAACCCTAGGGTTTCTTGCTGGAGTCATCTGGACTGTTGGATCTTATAAGATCCAACGGATGCTGCTTATTGGCAGTTGAAGCTGAGATATAAACCCTAAATGGGTTTAGGGTAATATTTACGCCAATCTGGGTGTAAAACGGGACTCTGGGTGCAAAACGGGCCTCCGGGTATTGGGCTTTTGTAACTGGGCCGGTCTAGTTTTGGGCCCGTAATGTAAATAATATATTTTTTATTAGTAATAATAATAATAAATATAAATATTAAATAATAATATAATAAAATAATACTAATAATAATAATAATAAAAAAAACTAATGAATGAAAAAATTAATATCTTCAGCTGTCTCTCTTTGCTCATTCTTGTGTTAACAAGAATAGGGCACAGACGAAAAGATAATAAGTTTTTTTTTATCCATTTGACTTCACTTGATTATGATGGCACTAATGAACAAGTTCTTCTTTTGGATTAGTTCTTCTCATTATGAACTTTTCCAATGATGATGACAATTTATCTTCTTCTGTAATGCAATCTAGCAAAAAGTTGAACAAATTCTTCTCATTATGAACTTCTTCTTCTTTTTCAGATGAGTTCTTCTCATTATGAACTGCTTCTGGAAATGCTGATTTTCAAAAGAGGTGTTGATTCAACTTCAATATGTGATGAATTAAGGTAAGGTTGAACAAATTCTTCTCATTATGAATTTCTTCTCATTCTTCAGATTGATTCTTCTCATTATGAACTCTCTCTGGAAATGCTGATGCTGATCTAGCTCCTTCTGTAATAGAGTCGAGCAAAAGGTTGAACAAATTCTTCTCATTATGAACTTCTTCTCCTTCTTCAGAAGAGTTCTTCTCATTATGATCTCTCCTGGAAATGTTGATGCTGATCTATCTCCTTCTGTGATAGAGTCATGCAAAAGGTTGAAAAAATTCTTCTCATTATGAACTTCTTCTTCTTCTTCAGATGATTTCTTCTCGTTATGAACTCTTCTGGAAATGTTGATCCATCGAGTGATGAATTCAAATTTTTATTGAAATAATTACTAATCTTTGAAATTCATGTCAAATATTCAACATTGATAAAAATGAATGAAAATGCCCCTATTTTTACAAATGTCTAAATATAATGCATGAATGTTAAGTTCATCTTTATTTGATTTCAAAGTGGCCAACTCGGCCTTCCTTCACTTAGTCAAAATGTCATTTCAAGCTGGCATTCTTTTTTCTTCATTTGTGTTAAAGTCTCAGAAGAAATGCTTCATTCACAAAATTCTTACTACAGTCAGAATTATGACCTTGTTGCCCCATTTTATCATGGATAACACTGGCTTTCTTTGTTAGGACTTGTGTAGAAATCCAATAAATCTTTTTTCTTTGAAAAAAGAATCTATTATCTTTGAATAGAGAATCTATTATCTTTGAAGAAAGAATCTATCATCTTTGAAGAATGTAGATGTAGATATGCCAAACTTAGTGGATAAATTAATAGAGCAGTATCTTTTCTGATTTGACTCTTGAAACACATCATAAGGAGGATTTATCCTAATTCCTTTCATGTCTCCACATCTAATCATATCTCAAACAAAGTGATTCAGACCATATTATGTTGAGATGCTTAATAACAATCTGCTGTTCAATTTTAGTTGGCTCCACTAGTTTCTTGTTGTTAAAATTTCAGCTCCCCTTATGTGGAAAGAAAATCTTCATCATATCTCACTTTTAACCTTAGTGTTGAAGAAGACAAACTTTATTTCGGATCAATAAATGGAAACACCATATGATCGCAACATTGGTTCAACACCATAATTACTGGTTCGTAAAACATTTGACAACACATTCATCCTTTCATGTGGCTTCTGCCCAGTATTTCTTTTCTGTTTTTCTGCTTTACTTCCTTCCAAATGACTCTATGATGGTAATAACTTGTTCTCTTTTTAACAATGATTGCAAATGTTGATAAAACTTACTTTGGATTCCATGCATTTAAAAGTATTAACATAAAGTGATAGCCAAAATCTTTTGCTTATCTTGAGATTATGTTAATCCACTTATAAGATGTTTATATAAAAGAATAAATTGAATTTCGAAAAGAAATTGGATTTCGAAAAGATAAACGTGGAATCTATTAATAAATATATATTCAAAGTCATGACAAACATAGAAATGATAAAAATTCAAATGACTCAACAAATTATTAGCATAAGTATTTCTAAACTAATTAATTTGATATAATTTAGAGCACTGAGGTAAGCTTATGTCTGAAAGATCTTGAACGTTGCCAGAATGTTTGTAGATGTAAAGTTCCTCCCAAAATATCAAACTCTTAAGAAGGTTTAATTGCCAGATGCCTAATATCAACATGCATTTGAGCAGCCTTTTCAGGTTTTCAACTAAAATCCTTCCTTTGGTTGCAAGACGCCCTTTGCGGGTTTTCATCTTGACCCTCCTTTTTATTTTCTACTTTTTCTTTTATTTTTCTTCTTTTTTTATTTTTTTTTCTTTTTCTTCTTTAAGCATAATATTTCTTGACAGAATCTGAGTTTATTGGGTTTCTCAAAACTTTTCCATCCATTTATGCCAAGATTAATGCTCCTTCGGAAAAGGCATTTTTTACAACATATGACCCTTCCCAATTAGGCATCCATTTCCCACGGAAATCTTTATGTATAGGCAAGATCTTTTTCAGCACTAGATCACCCTCTTGGAATTCTCTTGGAATTCTCTTGGATGTACTTTCTTGTCATGAGACTTCATCATCCGTTTTTGATACATCT